TATATATATATATATATATAATTTATTTTTGTGTCTTGTCTCTTATTGCTGTGTAATTCTGTTCTTTGATTTTCACTCGTGAGATAATTTCAACACAATTTCCTCTTCCAAAATTAATTAGCCGGTTATTAACAAAGAGCAATAATGAGTTATTCAAATTCTATATACAATATTCTCATCTAATTTGATAATTTATTAACAGTGTGATTTAGTAATTTAGTTGATTGTCACGTGATTATCATAATCTCATGTTAATAATAAACTTTAGTAAATTCATCTCTTGCACTCTATGAATAATGGCGCGACCAAGTTTAATGTACTGCCATCATTCATGGCATTGGTATGACAATGTTACATCGCTCATTCTCTCAATAATCTTGTGCTGACGTACGACTATAGTATCATCGTTTTAACTTAATAATTGTATTATTACGCGCAAACGCATTTAGAATTTGCAATTACACAAATATTTCATCAATAAAATATTTACAATAGACAAATAATTCGAATTTTTCGAATGCTTGCGCGCTTATATAATAATCCAATAATCAATTTCCGTATTTTTTATGTTTCAGGACGCGGCAAACGGTGATTGAAAAATGACGAGAGAACGCTCCTAAAATTTTTAATATTTTCGACAAAGAAAAAGGATTGCATAATACAATCAAAAACAACAACAGCGGAGTGAAAATGCAATGAGGAGTTTTTTTTTTTTTTAATAAATTAGAGTTTGTGCACAAATTGTGCGTTCGAGATGCATGACAACAAGAGTCGTCGTAATAATACCGACTAATTATCTCGACAATTAATTTGAGAAAGCCTTTTAATTATCAATTGTTTTTACAACAAACGAAGATATAAAAGCAAGATGCCAAAAGACGTTTCGAACTGAAGTTGCTTCGCTATTGTCTTGAGATAATCCGAGAACTCGCAGAAAGACGAAGAGAGACTAATTAAAGTCATAATTTACGTGAATGGTGAGTCTTAATTATCGCAGACGTAGCACACATTGAAGAATAAATAAACTTACTCACTTGCATGTCAATAAAAAATATAATTGTTTTTTTTTTTTTTTTAAGAACACGCAAAGAATTCGATACAAAATGTTGATAGAAGAAAAGATACTTTCGGATAACATTTATTTTTTTCAAATTACGTAGATTCGAGAAGAAGAAAACATTCCGTTTCCAAAATTTTGTCTGAAAATTCTTTTTTTTTTCTTTTTTCTGATTTCCATTTTATCATATCTCGGCTTTGCCGAAGAGGATTTTTCCGCCTTCTCTTCGATTTTTCTCGAAATCGAAAAGATGAATTCGCGGCAAAGAGGCTGCATCATTGATAAGGAAGAGAAATTATCGGGGACGAGTGACGGAAACCGAAACAGCTTATCTCCTTTTTCTCCGTCACGTGGATCGCCAGGGAAAACGTGGCGCCGTTACACAACGTTAAATTTCCCTCTCCTCGCCGGGGCCGATAAGTACTGATTTCCATAATGGCTCCACGTACGAGTGCACTCACTTATCCCTCCCCTACCCTGCCTCTGCCCTCTCCCGAGGGCGCCTCACTCTCTCGACCCCTTCTATATAACCCTCTCTTCTCGCAAAGCGCCAGTTCGTACTTTCTCTCTATCCGCACTCCGTGGAAACCTTCGGGGGCGTCTCTCTCTCCCGGTAACTTTATATCCCCCACCCGTAATGCGAATTCAAGACTCGATAATCGCACCGGGGACGTGATTAATTTTTTGATTAACGCTCTCTTTATGTACGCCAACACCGCGACGACGACTACTTTTATGCGGCAGAGTGGCCCCCGAGAATTGCACAGCCGGGCAATGTCGAATTATTTAAAGTTTTCAACATTCCGCATTCTTTCAAACCTGATGATGTTGAAGAATTTTTCTACGCGGTTTTTTTTTTTTTTTTTTGTTTTTAAACTCATGCTGTTCTGCAAAAACATTCTTTCGTTTTTTTTATATTCTCTCTCGCGTGAAACATTTTACAATATAATAACGAGCAACATTGCGACGGAAACTCGCTTATCTCTGTTGGTCGAATCTTGTAATTGAATTTTGTTATTTGAAGTTTTTTGTAGTTTTTTTACCACGCTCCGTGTTACATCGCGGCGGGAAGAGACGATACGTGTGCGCGCGATGCGACCACATGAAAGCGTAAATAACTTATCTAAAGATACGAGGAGATATCAGAAGGGGGGGTAACGAGAGTTCTCTCGCAGTAAATAGTACGTTAATTACTTCACCGTTTCGAGATATTAGATATTACATAAAATACGCGGCAAACGTACTTGGGCGGCTACGTTCTTCCCCCGCGTTTGCGCTTATCAAACGCTCTCCAACTTTCCTTTTCTCGTGGTTTATCCATCGCCTTCAGCTCTTGTCACTGATTCCCCCTTCGGGCCGTTTTACTTTATCTTCCATCGAAGGATTCGCGCAAATGTTGAAACTTAACGCGCGCGCGAGAGATTAGAATCCCACGCTAATAATCGAACGAAGTCGATTAAAGGGTGTTATAATCGTACGTTCTCTCACGTAAAACCCTCCCCTCGTCAATTTATCGATTAAACGCCGCGCGCAACACATAAAACACACCGCATATACACGCACATCCCGTTATTTGTGATTCTTTTTATTGAATGTCATTGCCATTTTTCCCCCCCAATAGAATACGAGAACCGCGGCGCCTATTAATTAAATATTGATATAGGTAATTGAATGGCATGTTGAATAAATACAGGCTCAAAAAAGAGCGGCAGCGGCAGCGGCGACCATTATATCCTGAAAGTTTTAAACTACTACAAACAAAAACACAAAATTAATTGATGCGATCAAGCGAGCAATCGCGTGAGTGAAATAAATTGTCACTTTTGTTTATTACAACCTATGTATATATATATATATATATATATATATGTACGTTCATTGCAACAATCTCGAGTCGGGAATTAATTAACATGTTTGCCACGAAATGTACGATAATGAGTGCGAGCCGCTTTTGTCTTCTTACGTCATTACGCGTTTCGAATTAACGTACGTATTTATTTGCAACATTGTACGTAGCAAAATGTGTCTACGTATTTATAAAATATTATTATTATCGAAACATTTAATGCAATTTATTATTGTCGAGCAAAAATATCCGTTTGTTGAATTTGTGAAAATTAAAAAACATACGAATCTCGGTTTTAATTGTTAAAAAATATATATATTTTTTTTTGTAAAAAGAAACGAGAACGATCAATTTATTTTGATTATAAAAAAAAAATGATAAGTTTTTAGACCATTTTTCTCTCAGATCTACGAAGAGTTCATTTGCAAAGATATTAATTGTCAGAAATCAAAGAGAGTGACGATAAGTTACGTAACGTTAATCTCGCGTAATCGATAATCTCTTCGTTTCTGTCGCCATGGGGGCTGCGATTTATGAAATATTTTCCAGAGAAACCAACCGAGATGGCGGAAACTCGACGACGACGACGTCGCGGCAATTAATAATCCCGGAAACGTAAATGAGAGACGATCGTACGCTGGACGCGGAGGTGATCCATAGATCGTCGTGGTCGGGCGTGTGATCGGTTGCAGTGGCGCAGGCGGGAGAAGAGGAAGGTGACAAAAATGGAACTTTTCCTGATCCTCGTCTGTCTGATCGCGCCGCCCGCCCTCTCGCTCTCAATCAAGAGCAAAACCAACTCACGGATCGTTCAGACGCGCTACGGCGCGGTCCAGGGTATCACGCGATCCTTCGAGTACGCCAAGTTCCTGAAACCGATCGACGTTTACCTCGGAATACCTTACGCCACACCGCCGGTCGGCAGCAGCCGATTCTCACCGACGAGGGCGCCGAGTCCTTGGGAGGGAATCAGGTAAAAATATATATCATTCCAGAGACGGAAAGACTCTGATGTAATCTCGGCGCTCAAGTTTTAATTGCGTCAAGAAGTCTTATTTTCAAAACTCGCTTAAGCTTCTGGAAAAATAGCAGCTACGTGGTTTTTCTTTTTTTTTCGAGTGAAATTCGTTTTTTGAATTATCGCGCGTATTCAAATCTCAGTTTTTCTCAGATTTCAAAGTGTTAAGTTATACATACGATGCGCGCGAAAGAAGTTGTACGGTCAAGTTGCGCTAATCAATTTTTATTTTCGACATATCGAGTCGATCGCGCACTTGCGAAACTTACCTTCCGGTCACGGAGAAGCGGAGCATCCCGCTTTCACAATTTTATAACAAGCGCGCGCGCGCGCGCGCGCGATCTTCCCGTCTCAAGATACTTTGGATGCCGCGCAGTCTTCGTAACTCGAAGTGTCCGGGAATATCGCAGGATATATAACAACGTTCTGAAATTATGCCAAGATATTCCTTGGCGAATCTTTCGAATACCGGGCGTTATATATTGCCGCTAAACTCGCCTCGGCGTCGAAAGATCTCAATTTTCCAACGGAAAAAAAAAAAAATAGTTTACGGCGGATAAATTTTAACAATTATCGAAAAGTAAATTAATCGAGATAAAGAAAAACGCGTCGTGTGTAGTTTAAGACACTCGCGGTCAGCAAGTCGCCGCACGCGCGCGCGCGAACACACCTACAGACACACACGCTTCGAGAAATTCATTTCCGTTGACAGCGTTCGCCTTTATTGAACACGCGCGTATTGAACAAGCGAAACTTTGACCGTTCAGTTCGTTGTAACGCACGAACGATTTCCGATTTCCTCTACAGATTATCGGACTCGGTGGGTCCAGTCTGCCCCCAAAAGCTGCCGGACATTGCAAACGAGCAGGAAGCGCTCGAGCGAATGCCTAAGGGAAGACTGGAGTACCTGAAGAGACTGCTGCCTCATCTGCGTAACCAGAGCGAGGATTGCCTCTACCTCAACATCTACGCACCTGCCATGGGTGAGTGAGCAAACCCCTTCGGCGATTGAGAACTAAGTTAGGTACAACGTTAGGTATAACTCTATAATTGCAATATTGTTTTCTTCGAAAGCGAAGAATTTTAGAGGTCGAAAGTTTATTTAAACTTCGATATTGCGCGTTGAAAAAAAAATTTTTATAAACATTCGTTTTATTCCCGCAAAAAGACATACTCTCGCAAAAAACAAAAACAAAAAAAAAAAAATTCCGCAACTATTGTTATCTAATAATTGACGAGAAATTATTTGAACGATTATAAATTTGTTGCGCAATTGCACTTTAACAAACAAATAATTGCCACGTACTGGTTTGTAAAAAAAAAAATGTTAGATATTTCTTTCTCTCGTGCGCGCTCGGTTGGGCGAACTGTGCGGCAAAACGAAGGAGTGTAGTAGAGTAAAGGCGATCGATCAAGCATCGAAACTTCTTTTATACGTTGAGCATACGTTTCCCGTTCCCGAAGTCTCGCAAACGCGAGACGATATGCTTTCGACACTATCTCGAGGGAAGAAGAACTTTGTAACGCGATTCCACGGAACTGCATTTACTCTCTTGTAACGTATATATATATATATAGAGAGAGTTCTTAAATCCCTCCGGAGACTTTTGAGCGCAGTACAATTTGATAAAATTTTTTTTTTAATTTGTTTAAACCCAACATTAGGGATATGATGATAAAATGAAACAATCAACATCTCGAAAAAAATTCGAGATGAACTTTAAAAAACTAAAAAAATTAAATAAGTGATAAATAAGGTGTGACCTCCGGCTCCTTTTGAATTTTGAATCTTGAATTTTAAAATCTTTCGAGCTATCCCGAGTCGAAATTTAGCGTCTACATTGAACCTCAATTTTTGAAAAAAGGAAATTTCGGACGTATAGCAGCGTCAAAGTAGCATCTACTTTTTTTCTTACTCCTACTTTGAGTCTATCAGAGCTTATTTTGAGCCTATCAGAGCCTGCAATGCGCAGTCCAATCTGAGAATTGAACCCTACTTTAAAACTTTAGCAGGAAAAAAGGAAATTTCAGACGTATAGCAGCGTCAAAGTAGCATCTACTTTTTTTCTTACTCCTACTTTGAGCCTATCAGAGCCTATTTTGAGCCTATCAGAGCCTGCAATGCGCAGCCTGATCTGAGAATTAAGTCCTACTTTAAAACTTTAGCGGGAAAAAAAGAAATTTCGGACGTATAGCAGCGTCAAAGTAGCATCTACTTTCTCTCTTACTTCTACTTTGAACCTATCAGAGCTTATTTTGAGCCTATCAGAGCTTATTTTGAGCCTATCAGAGCCTGCA